TGAGCAGAGCAAAGCGATCTGCCGCTGCGCGAGCATCGATCTGCCGCTCTCCTGCGCGAGCGCTCGTCTGCTGGAAATTCAGAGTGGAACTGACGGCACATCGAGCATCTGGTGCTCAACAGAGGTTGTCTCTCGGGAGGGCTGTGGGGCGGCTGTGCAGGGAGGCAGCCCTGGCTGCTGGTCCCCCGTGGCGCTGGGAGCCTTGGTGGCCCCTCGGCAAGCCCCTGGGCTTGCCAGGGTGGAGTCCCTTGTTACCCCACGGCACTCCGGGGGCTGGCGAAGGTAGAGGGTGCCCGGTTTGCTAAGACATTTTGGTGGGCAGCAGAGGAAGGGACACCTCATCTGCCTACCCCCAGCTTGCTTGCATGACTTTTCTCTCTGGCATACGAGGGTGGGTGCGAGGCACAGAGGGGCTTTTTGGGCTCATTGCCTTGCTAGCCTCTTGTTACCACGTGCAGCTGGCAGAAAACTGGGCCCTGATAAGTTGCTGATTGGCAGCGTAATTGATTTGACAACTGATGGCTTGGCAGAGCTGGGAATGCCACAAATCCAGCGCTGCTCTTGTACCGTGTCCGGCGGCTCTGGCGCCCAGCTGTACCAGGTGAGCATTGAAGCCCGGCCAGGCTGGCGCCCGCTGTGGAGGCTGAGGCCACCTCCAAAAAGCTGGAGATGGCTGCTCGAGAACAGGGAAATCCCCAAAAATACAAACTGGAGGAGGGGGTGATGGTGCCCTGCCCAGTGCTGGCAGCAGACACTGGGGCTGAAGTCCAGCTCCGCTGGTAGAGCACTGACGTTGGCAGTGTGGCCCCACAGAGACCTCAGCCTCAGAGGAGAGGGGGGGCTTCTCCCCCGGTTTTGAAGGTGCTGCTGTGCTTTGCTTGTTCAGCTGTATGTCAGCATAACCTTACGCTCCAAAAACAAAGCTGTGGGTTAGTGTTCGTGTGGCTTTTTTGTTTGCAGTTCCACTTCCAGCTGGCTCCTGACCCCACTTGGCTAGGGTTGATGACCACTATTCCACCCTGCTGAGATTAGCAGCAGAGACCTGCCTGAGCTTTCGGGAGATGCCTGCTCCATGGCTGGGCACTCTAAAATGGGTATGACTGGGTGCAGTCTCAGGCAGGTAGGCTTGTTTGTGTCTGTCACTTGTATTTCAGCCTTGGAGCGTAGAACAAATGAATGAAGGGACTTGGGGTTGGGTGATTTGAATGTGTGTGAGGGAGGGGTGGGTCGTCTTGCATTTGGTCGTAAAGCCATGAAGCAGTCTGGTCTTATTTTGCAGCTGCAAATAGTCCTCTGGGACAGGCAGGAAGACCCATCCGCGCGTGGGCCGAGCTATTTGTAGCATGTCTGGGCTTCAGGAGGGTTTGCGCAGGGCTTTGTTTAAAAACTAGGTATCCATCCAGTGGCTCTGAATGGCTGGTTTTGGGTGAGCAGGACTTGGCTAGCCCAAATGTGTTGCTTTTCTGTTGTTAGTACAGGACATGTCTTGCAGCACCTCAGATGCTGCGCGCCCCCCCTGCCCGCTCAGCGGTGAACTCAGGCATGGCACTAAGCAGGTCAGAGATAATGAGAGCATCTCTCAGCCCTGGGAGCCGTTGTTGATGGGTCTGCATGAAATGTCTTTTTAAATGTCTCCATAGAGTTGTTCAGCTGTAGGAAAAAATACCTTTCCAAACGAGAGGAGAATCGGCATCTGCTGCAGTGCGGCTGGCTCTGCAGCGTCGGGTTCCTGGGGAAGGAGGGGTGCCGGTGCACCAGAAAGCTTGTTGTCAGACCCAGATCAATAGCCTGCAGAACTGTGGGTCCATGTAATTTTCCAGTGCTTTGATCAGCCTGTTTAATAAGTCTGTGTTTGACACTAGACATCCATCCTGAGCCCTCCCAGGGGACTCTGGCAAACAGATTGCCGGTGGAGCCTGTACGTGTGTGCATCTTTCTGTGGAGTCATCACCGTCTCCCATCGCCAGCAGAGCCGGCTCCCCTGCTCACTGTGTGTGCCCGGGCAGGGAGCCTGGCAGGAGAGGGCAGGCGGCCGGTGCTTTCTGGGCACTCGCTGTGGTTTGGTGAGTGCCTGATGCTGCCTTTCGGTAGAGCCCAGTGCAGGAAGTTAAGCGAAGCCTTGCACGGGGACTTTACTGCCGAGTACCCGCTGCAAAGAGCCAACTGAGTCACCACCGAGCTGGGAGGGTCTCCGAAGCCAGACTGAGCTGCTGGCATTGCCTGTGGTTTATCCCCAGGTTCTCTATTGCCTTTTGGTTTTTTGGGAGAATGTTTGTGTGAACACTTAGATTTTTTGTGGAAAAAATTGTCCCATTTCCTCTGCTTTAGAAATCCTCAGTGCGCCTGTCTCTCGCTCCCGAGCTTTCTCCTTCTCGCTTGGACCGTCCCAGCGCAGGGGGCCAGGGCCAAAATCTCCTGTTCCCGTCCCTCAGACTGGGCTGAAGGGAAAACTTCAGTGAGTTGTTCGGTTTCTTTATAATCTGCAAGAAACCTGCGAGGAGAATGTCAGCCTGTTTGTCTGCATAGCAAAGCAATTTTCCTACCTGGAGAAGATGCAGCGCGCTTGCTTGTTAGTTGTCGCATGTCTGATGAGGACATTTTCCTGAAGGCCAGGGGGGGATGTTCTCTGCCTTAAAATATATTGTCTGAGAAGTTTTACATCCCATCCTTCCATCTAGCCCATTGATTAATGGTGGCAGCTGGACCGATGAGCATACTGGAGAGAAAGGAGAGGGACTCGTGTGCTGAGCTTGCAGAGGGACCCCACGTCTGGTGCGCTGTTGGCAGTGCCCTCCCCAGTGACACTGCAAAAGCCTGCTCTCTGTCCCAGGCTTGGCTGGGGCTGCCACCCCCATAGGTAAACTGGTCACCTGAAATGGTTTCAGACCCCTTTAGCCAGGGGAGCGCAGCCAGATGCATCACGGTGCGGCGTACAGCCACACTTAGCTTCAAGCTGTTAAACCACAGATAAACTGTTTGCTCCCACAGGCTTAACCTGAGTGACTCTGTATGAGCGGGCTCTTGGCAGCTCCTGATCCGTGCAATTATTGCCACGCCGTGAGCCAGTCGCTCCTCTGCTGGGAAAATCACCGCTCTGGTAACAGTGCTCGTGCCGGTGCAAACCTGGAAGCAGGATGCAACCTCTGTGCATGCTGAGATTTCCCAGCGTTAGCATCGATTTGTTTGCATTCAGGCTATCGTGTAGCGGAGCCAGATCCTGACGTTTTCGGAACAAAGAGCTGCGAGCACAGCGGTCCAAGTCCTTTCTCCCGCTCTGTTTTATGAATGAACAAAGCACTCTGAGAAATCCTAACCCAGGCTGCACGCTGGCACGTCAGCGCAGACTGCTTGCTCTTGGTGGCACAGAGGTACCGTCTCTGTGGTCCGAAAGCTGCACATTCCCATTTCATCGCCAGTCTAGTAAGGTCTCTTTAGGCTGTTGGTTGGCCAGATAAGTGAGTCCAAGACAAGTTAGTCTGCCTGACTAGTCCCTCTCAGGTGATTTCAGGAAGACCCTGGATCTACTTTAACAGGCACAAGTTAACTCTCCACTGAAGTACGTACATCTTCGCACACCCACAGTTCATGTTTACTTCCATCAAGCTAGCCCTTTTGTTCAGATTAGCTGAACTTCTAAGAGACGTCACCAACCTCAATTTTTCTGTTTTGCAAAACTGAAATTGTACCTCTGTGTAGTCAGCAGAACTGATGACTCTGCAGGCAGAAAAGCTGTACCACTGTCTACTGCTTTGGGTCAAAAGACATCTGGGTTCCCTAATCTCCTCTCTGCTTAGGCAGGAATAGAACATGGCACTGGCTTCCTCTTGAGAAACATTTCTGCTGTGGAGTAAGGTCATGGATGCAGCAGGAGACTGCCTGTTGTGACGTGAGCTCCAAGATCTCCTGCTGCTTCAGTAACGACTTTGCTTTGTTGCAGCTGCTGTGGAAGCCTGTGTCTTGTATGGCTTGAAGCGGAGGGCAGCAGGATTCCTGCGCAGCAACAAGATAGCAGCTCTGTTTATGAAGGTGGGCAAGAGCTTTCCTCTGGCAGAGGAGCTTTGCAAGAAGGTGCAAGACCTGGAGCAGCTCATTGAGAATGCGTAAGGCACCAGCATTGCTGTTATCCCACAGGTCACTCGCGTTTCGGTGTGGGTGTGTGGTTTGGGTATGGCTGTGGATCGCATTGTCCAACTTGAGCCTCTGCGGGAGGAATTGCTCTTTCAGGGGAGCAGAGTCCTGTCTTGGGCTTTTGATATCTTGACTGAACTGGTTGCTTTTCTAGGAGACTGTGAGCTGCGGTTGTGGTTTAAGCTAGGATGGACAAGTTCTTATTTCTTCTGCCTCTTGTCTCATGCTTCAGGGACAGCTAAGCATGTTTGCTCCTGAACTGTCAGTTTATGGACCAGTGCACTAAGCCAGCTGGAACCAAATTTGATCTGCCTCAATGTGCAGGGCTTGAACCTGCAGTAATTCAACTTCTGCTTGAGAGTGGCTTACTCATCCTTGGACAGGAACCAGGGAGATGGATGGTGCAGCTACCTGGGGGCAGGAATCTTTATGCTGTCCTAAGATAAGCCACTTTGCTTGTAAACTGCTCTCCTCAGGCACCAGTGGGAAAGGCGCGTGGGTTGAAGGATTCTGCTGAGGCAGAGACTTGTTCTAGGGTGCCTTTACAGTGGGAAAACCAATTTGCTAAAGTCAGTTTTCAAATGCAGATGTGGGCCTTCTGGAGTAGGGATGGAATAGATGAAGGGAGCAGGCTCCAGAGCCCTGTCCCCATGCAGTTTCCTGGGCATCCCCCAGCCACCACAGTCAGCACCACTGAAACCCTGGCCTCGTGCCTCACAAGGTGCTGTGAGTGCCCTGGGCTCCTGCAGTGCTCAGTGATGAGCTGGTGATGATGTTGTCTTTTGCCTTGTACCTCTAAAGACGAAATCAAGTCCAGGGCATCCCGGAGAATGTGCGCAAGATGCCAAAGCTGCCCAACCTGTCTCCTCAAGCCATCAAGCACCTCTGGATCCGCACAGCCCTCTTTGAAAAGGTCTTGGATAAAATCGTGCATTACTTGGTAGAAAATAGCAGGTGAGTGCTGGCACAGGCCAACCATTTGCCCCTCCCAACTCACTACCAGCATCCGCCCCTTTCGATGGTCCTGGAGGTGTTGCTGGCTGAGCTGTGTGTCCAAGTGGGCCAGAGAAGTCCCTGGATGGGACAGGCCAGTTGTGTCACTCTGTGCTCAGCACAGAGACTCCGACTGATACCCTACTGCTGGTGGCCACCATACACTCCCTAAAATAAAGACAGGCCACGCTTGGTCTGCTGACAACTGGTTTGTCAGGGACCGCATTGTCCTTATCTTCTGGAAACTGCATGCTTGAGGTGTCTGAGGCAGGTGTCATCTCCAGTCCTGCGGATGTTTTGTTAGGAGATGGTGATGCTTGCAGTATGCTGCAGGAGGGCATCTATTCCCCAGGAATTTCACGGCTAGCAGAAACAGCCTGTTGAGGGCTTCTTGCCCTCTCACCATCAAGGAGTGATAGAGAAAGAGAAGGAAGGGCATTACAGTGATTTAAAACCACTGTCTCTATCATTTTTGCAGTTGCAGGGGGTTGAAATGCTACAGCATTCTGCTCTCTATTTTTTCTAGTAAGTACTATGAGAAAGAAGCTCTCCTGATGGATCCTGTGGATGGGCCAATTCTTGCATCTTTATTGGGTAACACTTTCCTCTTACCCTACTTTGATAGCTTGCTTTCCACACCTGTGTTTCCAGTTCTGTGATCTGGGATGTGAAATGCAATTGTTTTCTAGTAAGAACTTCAGGAAACTTAATAGCCTTGGACAGGTAGCCCTGTGGAGTGCTTATAAAGACCACGTGATGCCCGGCTGCTGAGCAGTGAATAGAGAGGGAATGTTGCAAGGCTGAGCTTGGGGTTTCCTTTTCTTCCACAGGCTTCAGTAATACTGATGGGCATAAACCAGAGCTGAGGCCAGGGCCCGGGAATCAGTGTGGTGCTGCGACGCAGGGCTCAGTGTGCACATGAGCAGTCAGGCAGTGGGTTATTGCTCGCTGCCAGGGCTGGCTGACCCCTCTGAATTCTTTACTGCTGTTTATACAATGCAGCAGCAATGTGTGCTAAGCCTAGTGCTTGCTGCCTGCTGTCCCACCACCCCTGCTCTGAGATGCTGGGCTCTGGGGATCTAAGAAGTGACCACCGTCATCGGAACACCACTGATGACTTCCTTATGTTTGCGATTTTCTTCTACGTGCAGTGGGGCCCTGTGCGCTGGAGTACACGAAGATGAAGACCGCTGACCACTTCTGGACAGACCCCTCAGCTGACGAGCTGGTTCAGAGGCACCGGATCCACAGCTCGCACTGTCGCCAGGACTCACCCACCAAACGCCCGGCACTCTGCGTGAGTCGGGGGACGGCCAGGCTGGGAGGGACAGCCCCTCGCAGCGCTCCTCCTGGGGTGCACAGGCAGCACTCGCCAGGGTTTGAGGCTCCATCTGTTTGAAAAGGGCTGTGAAGCCCTCTGATGAGAAAAGGTAGAAAAGTGCAGTTACTTGAAGTCTTCAAGCCAGAAGTGCTGGGAACGTGGGCCGTGGAGACTGCAGGCATGCTGGACCAACGCGGTACTGCATCATGGGGTCTCCGCCCTTTGGGAACAGCATGTATGAACAAAAAGCAAAGGTAGCCAAAGTCTGCTCTGTTTATTGCAAACAAAGCACACTCCTGGGGCTTCTCTAAGTACAGAATCAAGCTTGGCCAGAGCCAGGAATCCTCTTAGAGGACACAAAGGGAAAGATTTCTAGTAGTGACCTTCTTAAGTGTATAAGTGAGGAAGGAATAAGCTTTCAGGAGAAGCTTTTTGAAAGCAAGAGGCGTCTGTGCTGACCTCACGTTTGTAGGTGGATCTCTTCCAGATTCAGAAAAGGCATTCGAGTGGCAGTATGGATGACCGGCCATCGCTGTCTGCCAGGGACTATGTGGAGTCGCTGCACCAGAATTCCCGAGCCACGCTCCTCTACGGCAAGAACAACGTCCTGGTGCAGCCGGTAAGTACCTGCTGGGGCATCTGGGCTTTACAGTACTGCTCTGCTCCCTGCCAGGTAATTCTGTCCCACGTTGCTCTTTGATGGAGAAAAGCACAGGCTCGTTTCTAATCTGGGAAGGCAGTGACTAGACTGCGTTTGTTGAGGTCCTGGTGATAGGGATCCTCCCAGTGGAATGGAAGAGCTCTGCTTCTGTCTGAGTAGAAAAAGGCTCCTCTCCTTGCCTGCTCTTGACGAGAGGCCACAGAACCCTCCTCCTGTCCCTTTCTGCTTACTGTAGTCAAATAAATTAAGTGCAAACCGCTTAGGTGGAGCTGTTAAGTTTGCCTCAGCAGCACAGCTGCTCTCGGCCCTTTTTCAAGCTGGTGAGGTGTCCTGTTGTCTCTGCTGGGAGGTTTTGCAGGGCCACTGTGGGTTTCTCACTGTTGGTGAGCGGATGGGCTCAGGGGCAGCAGGCAGGGCTGTGTTACGGTCCAGGACTGTGTTCCAGGGCATGGCTCAGCCTCGGGTAGCCTGAGGTGGTGCTTCGTGCTTCTGGCGTCTTGCAGCCTGCTCCCACCAGCTCACTCTCTCCTTGCATTTCTCTTCTCAAGCGAGATGACATGGAGGCAATCCCAGGATATCTGTCCCTTCACCAGACTGCCGACATCATGGCACTGAAGTGGACTCCCAACCAGCTGATGAACGGCACTGTGGGGGATCTGGACTACGAGAAGAGGTGACTGGCTCCGAGTGTACCCTAGCGTGGGGCAGAGGGGAGGCAAATGTTCCCCAGGTTTAGTTTGGATGTGGTGTCCAAGGCCATCAGTGAGTTTTCCCACTGACTGCAGAGCAAAACAATCATCCTTGAGTCTGTAACAAGGGAAGGGATGGGGAAGGAGGCCTGAGGTGGTGGGAGAGGTGGGCTGCGGGAGATACTGTGAGATTCTGTGCTATTGCCTGTCTTTGCTGGGAAGTGTTCAGCAAGGGAACTGGGGGGTGCTTGTTCTGAAAGATGCAAAGTGGTTTCATTTATTGCCCCCAGGGATTTTGTCAGGAGAATGCCCTCTCTACACACTACACAGTGCTTTTACGTTTATCGTGGTTATTTTCATCTGGGGAACTGAGGAGCTCATAAACAGGGGAAGAATATCTGCAGAGAGAGGGAACGTGAGCAGTGCCCAGATAATCACACCTCGGTAACAGAGTGCGTGCCGTTTTGTAGTGCTGTTTTGGTGCAGTCTGCAGCTGATCCTATGTGCAGGTATTCAAAGTCCCTTGGATTTAACGGAGTCCCTGGAGCTTGTTCCTCCAGGGGGCCTGAAGTCTGCTTAGTTTGCTTGGTAGGGTGCATTGCCGTGTCCTTTTGTCTGGGATTGCCTTATGGACTCCTGGCATTCTCTTTGATACTGCAATCCTTTCAGAATCATGCCAGGTCCCAATTTGCCTGAGAAACGAAACAAAGCAAACAAAATCCCTTTCCATCAGCAAATGCTCCAGGAAAGCTGGAGTGTTTAGGACACTGATTCTTTGACCTACGATAAAGATCTTCTTCAGCAAAACTTGTTGTCAGTTTTGTTTATTCTCAATTGTAGTTTTTTGGGTTTTGTTTACCTGTGTTCTTTTCATCTCCCCTTTCTTCTTGGCCCCTGGGCCATTCCGTTTTACCTGGTACCCTCCCCCTAAAATGCTATTTTCATCTCTACACTACTTTTCTGAGTTCTTGACTTGGGCATCAGCCTAAGCTCTAAAACTTCCCAGTGTCAAGACGTGACCAAGGAAGAGAGGAGTCAGATGACAAAGTAAGTATGAATCTACAAGGAGTGACTCTTACGCACCCCTTCCCGTCCTTAAGTGTCTTTATAAGCCATTTTATAATGCCTTTATTTTAAGCGCTATTTTTGTGAACTGGCGGATAAAGCTGCTCAGAATCTGGAAATTTGCTTCGTTGCAAAGAAGTAGGATGTTATTAAGTGCTGACACCCTCACAGAGCAGTGCTTTTGCTAGGCTCTCCGCTCTCCACAGAAATGAAACCCTGCGTGAGGCCACGTGTCTCCTGGCGAGATCCCCTTCCCCGGCTTCCTCCTGGTGTCTCTCTAGATCTTTTCTAGATTTGCTCAGTCACCTGGAGGCGCCTGTGCTCAGGGAGCGCAGTTCTCGAACAGAAGCAACTGGGATCAAATCTATTTTCAGCTTTGAAAAAACCCACAAATTGTGAGGGTTTATTTCCCCCTCCCTTGGGGACAGGAGCTCAGCAGAGCAGCAGCCCAGGCTCGGACTGCATTGCATGTTCCCTTGGGGCTCCGGGGCTGCTCCTACCAGGTTCATGGGGTTCTCCCAGCACCGCAGCAGGGCAAGGAGTCCTTTCCAGGGTGCCCAGAGGAGAGTGCTTAGTTCTGCAGGGCTCCATGTCCCTCCCTGCAATTGCCAGGATCCACAGGCACATTGTCCATGTCTGGGAACGATGTGAGGATAGAGAAACAGCCCAGGGCGGGTGGGACTGGCCTTGCCCTGATTGAGCTGTAGTGGCAGGGACAGTTACTGGTTCTGGAGGGATGTTGTCACTGACTCAGGCTGGCTTCGTGGCAGTCGCACTGCTGCTGGGACCTCATCCTTTCTGTAGCTTCCCCTGGTGCCAGGGTAGCTGGAGGCAGGATCTGGAGCTGATGTGAACAGAAGGCAGAGCCTTTTGCATCCCTGAAGCTCATGGCTTCCTCTCTTTCTCTGTTCCAGCGTGTACTGGGACTATGCCATGACTATTCGCCTGGAGGAGATCGTCTATTTGCACTGTCACCAGCAAGGTAAGGCCAGAGTCGGGGAGGGGCTGCTGGAGGGTGTTACCACCCTGCCACTTGCTTCATTTAATCTTTGGGGAGTGCCCATATGGGGATGTTTTGATTCAGCTTCAGGGCAGATGTCCAGAGCTCTGGGTGGTCACTACCATGTAAGTGCTTCTAGGAAAACCTTTAAACCAGCTCCTGGCTGTGGTACTTGGCTGGGGAGCGCTCCCTGCAGGGCAATGCTCTGTGGTTTTCAAGAGCGCGATCTCCCAGGCAAGCCTTCTCCAGGGCCCCAGACTTGTAACGCACTTAGGGAAGAATCCAAACAAGGAAGAAATTCTTCATTTTGCATACCAAAAAGACAATTCCCTGAGCTTTCTTGCCTGTCCTCTGCATTTTTGACTGGTAACGTTTCCCTCATTCATGTGTGTGTCTTCTCTCTGCTGTCACTGTTGCTAATAGTAGACAGCGGTGGAACGGTTGTCTTGGTGAGCCAGGATGGGATTCAGAGGCCCCCACTGCGGTTCCCCAGAGGAGGGCACTTACTGCAGTTCCTGTCCTGCCTGGAGAACGGCCTCCTGCCCCATGGGCAGCTGGATCCACCCCTCTGGTCGCAGCGGGGAAAGGTAGGCACCCCGAAACTGGGCTTGTTCCTGAGTCCACGGCACTGCGGGTTCTTGCTGGTGTTCCCTTGTGGAGTGTCTCAGAACAGAGCTGATGGGGAGGACCCTCTGCCCAATGTTAGGGGCTGCTGCATTTTAAACAATCCCCCTCCCGAAACTAAGAAGGAAAGTGGGCTTGAAATATGGCAGTTTGGTTTAGCTCATGGCCTTGAACAGCTAAACAGACCCTTCGGACAAATCAGAAGGGAGGTGGTATGGGGGTGCTGGCCATAAGGCATGGTAGGTTTGGTTCTCATGGACCTGGCCATGCTGCGTGGATTATACATACCCTGTACACAAACAGGTTATATATTCACCGTGTAATTGAAAGCTTAATCCAAAGGTTGGTCCAGCACAGGGAACATGCAAACATCATCCGGGCTGACAAAGCGTGTGCTCTTGTTGGGCAGGAGTTCGGCAAATGAGGCAGCGACCATGCTGGCCTGCATGGTCGAGCGTGGGGCGGCTTGTGAAGAACAGGTTTTGTTCACCTAGGGGAAGGTGTTTCCCAAGCTGAGGAAGCGAAGTCCCCAGGGCTCCTCCGAGTCTGCGTCCGACAAGGAAGATGACGAAGCCACAGATTACGTTTTCAGGATAATCTACCCAGGGACACAGTCTGAATTCGGTGAGTGCGTTGGCAGAGAGTGTTTGAGGTGGGTTATCACGGGGGTACGAGCAGCTGGGGATGCAGCACTGACAGGCACATGGCAATTCACGCCAGGAAATGGTTCCAGAGAAATGGGCTTTGCTTGTAACAGTACTGCCTTTTATTCAATATCATGTCTGGGTCTGGAGAACAAGTCTTATGAGGAGCAGCTGAGGGAACTGGGGTTGTTTAGCCTGGAGAAAAGGAGGCTGAGGGGAGGCTGAGGGGAGACCTCATCGCTCTCTACAACTACCTGAGAGGAGGTTGTAGCGAGGTGGGTGTCGGTCTCTTCTCCCAAGTAACTAGCAATAGGACGAGAGGAAACGGCCTCAAGTTGCGCCAGGGGAGGTTTAGATTGGACGTGAGGAAAAATTTCTTTACTGAAAGAGTGGTGAAACATTGGAACAGGCTGCCCAGGGAAGTGGTGGAGTCCCCATCCCTGGAGGTATTTAAAAGACGAGTAGATGAGGCACTTAGGGACATGGTTTAGTGGACATGGTGGTGTTGGGTTGACGGTTGGACTGGATGATCTTAGAGGTCTTTTCCAACCTCAATGATTCTATGATTCTATTCTATGATTCTATGTATGGGTTGGGGTTTTATTTTTCTGTTTCAACCTTCCACTTGCTACTGAGTCCTTCGTTTCTGCAGCTGCACAACAGGCCATGACTGCCTTAATGGTTGGGAAAAAAAAAAATCTTGCACATAGTTTCAGTAGTAAGGTTCATTTTGGTCATGTTCCTTGGTAGTCACTTTTCACCATCACAAGCCTCCAGGGCTGATTCTTCTCTTGCTGTCACCAAGCCAACTCGGCAAGTGCTGCATTAAATCCAGCTATGTTCCTTCAGCATTGCTCCTGCAGCGCAAAAGAGAGATTACAGCACCCTTCTCTGTGTACTGCCAGGCTTGACCCATGTGTCTTCACTCCCTAGCTCACAGGGCAAGGGAGAGGATGCTGCTGGATTCACCAAACCAGAAATCTCTCTTAATGTCTGGTTGTGAATGATCTGAGCAATGTGTTTGGCTGAAGTGACTGTAGATTTGTCCTCACTCTTCTGTGGGATACTAAGAACAATTTTTTGACCTCTGGGAACATTGTAGATGATTTTATAAGGGCGAAAAACCAAGAGTGCAATAGAAGACTTGTGGAGTGCTTTTAAAAAGCTATGAAATTTGATCAAAAACTTGTTCCTATATTTTTGAGGCTAGAAGGGGGCAATCACATCTCCTGTGACTCCTCCATAACATCAGTTAAGATTATACTTAGTTCTCTCTGCCTTCAGCTGCCTAACACAATTCAGTGAGTCAGATAAAAATCTGATTGAGGCTAAAATAGCAGATAGAGATGCTCCTTTCTGTAGCTTCCTTTTGATCTACCCCTTAAAATTCCATGCTGGGGGCCAAATTTTCTGTGAAATGAATTGCTGCAATCTCCTCAGCTGGCATCATCAAAGTCTGTGCGGTTCCTGTGGACCTTCCCAGAGGGGGGTGGAACTGCATCTGTCATTTCTTCTCTACAGATTATTCCTTTCTCCCCTTTCTTTTGTGCCCTTGTCCTCTCTCTGTGTCTCTAGTTACCATTAATGGTAATTTTCATCCATTCCTTGCATCTGTGATCTTCATCGGTGCTGTGAGAGGGAAGATCGCAAGGATGCCAGCTGCAAGCAAGACGGTGGTGATCCCTAAATGGTTTCCGAGTGTCCCCATCACATCCCGACCTCCCCTTGCCGCTCTGGGGGCCTCTGGGCGTCAGTGTAATGCGGCTGTCATTTGTGTCTGGTATTACTGCTTGCCTGTGTTGTCACTTGGTAATTCCTGCAGAGGTGTCCCCTGTTGCTGCTGACCGTCACTGACCCATCAGCACCTGCTCAGTATGAGGGAAATAGGAATATTTCAATATTTTTCTTGCTAGTATCAGTTATTCAATACCACAAGCAGGGAGAGTCGGTGAGACCAAGGGCAAGTGAGAAAGCCCTCTCCCAGCTGGAAGCTGGAATTTCTACCACGATTTAATTTCCAAGGAGGAGCAAATAGGATTATTCTTTGTATCTTTTTCTGCATCCCACAGCTCACCTTCTTCATGATGGCCTTTTCCTAGGGGGGCCCAAGACCGAAGGGCAGGGACTGTTCCAGGCCAGGACAGCAGCCGAGCTGCTCAGCGTGGGGGCAGCTTGACTCTCGGGGCTGCACGCTCCCCTTGCACTGGCTCTGCGCCTGTTCGGTTTGCAGGGCAATACCTGAGCAGGATCCGAGGCCATTGCAATAGCACTTCTGAGTTTAAGCAGGGATTTAGCAAGTGACAACGTGAAGAGCTACTTGCTCCTGCTGTCTCTCTCAACCTCTTCATCAAAGTCTTTATCTGCTGTCTTGTGATTTGGATGCTCCCGTCTTTCCCTGAATCTTGGATGGGATCCTAGTGTTTGAGAGATGGGGGTTTTTCTCTTCCAGTGATCCACTCTTCCTGGGGCAACGGTTGATTTCAATCATGCTTTTTCTCATCTGTGTGACAGTCTGTTGCAGCCCCCTGTCTTGAGTCTCTCTGGGTTGGGTGTTTGTTTTCTGCTTTGGTCAGCACTCAGCAGTTTAACATTAGTTTGCTGAAGGCACTGTAGTTAATTAGCAGATGGTTCTCTCTCGCTCTCTCTCATCAATGCTGTTTGTTTCCTTTCTCTTCTCCTGAGCTCACCAGTGCTGGTGCTGTGATTACCTGGTGTGGGTCCTACCTGGTTGCTGGCGTCTCCTTGGGAAGAGTGTGGGATGCTGCATTTGCTAATGGAAACTGTCCTCTCTGTTGATCTCCTGTGGCTCGCCTGACTCTGGGGCAGTGCCAGACAGTATCTGATGCTCCTCTCTCTGCCCTCTTACAGTGCCCCAAGACCTGATGGACACAGCGGGTGCTGGCCTGCCTCCCATGTGGCAGCCCAGCACCCGCAAGTCCTCCTGCTCCTCCTGCTCTCAGAGTGGCTCCTCTGATGGTGGCCATCCAACCGGCTGCAGCCATGAAAGGTATGA